CAAAAAACAAAAATGCAGATGAGAAGCAGCATGTTGGAACAAGCACATAAAAGTGGTTTGCTTTCAACTTATTTGAAAGCTTTATCCCATGTTCCAGGTAAATCCATTAGGCAGCATTATTCCAACAAGGTGTGGCCAGCAGTTTTATAATGTATGAAGAATTTCCTTCAGATTTATGTGCTCTCTCTTTACAGTCTGTATGTTGTGCATATCACAAACTGGTGTGACACAGACTCAAATGTTCTGAGACTTGTGTTGGGTTTTTTTCATTTTTCTTCCCCCAGTAAAGAAGTCATATACAAAACTAGATACTCATATCCAATCTACTTTCAGCCATATCTGCAACTTTAGATGCATAAATACCTTTAAAATCTGGTTCTGTCATTTTACACATAATGCATAACAGATATTTACACACCTAAAATCTATTTAGACTGCTTTATTACTCAGAGGAAAAAATACTGGAAACTACCACTAGCCTATTGACAATTAAAAAAAAATACCATTGGCATTCTCAGAAGCCACTTCCACTGCAGGTGAAAATAGACAGACAGGATGTGGCTTGGCAATGGAGTAAGGTCTAAGATTCAGTAGGGAAAATCTCTGGAATTTTAACTCTGAGCAGGCATCCAGAAAGGTCTCTGCTAGAGACACACTCCATTGACTTACATGCATATTTCAGTGCTTTTCTAAATCAGAATTTCCTCAAAGGACTGTATGCTAAGCTATGTTTCACTATTTAGAGTAAGACCCAAATCTTACAGAGTAAAGGCAAAATCCATTCCTGATGTGACCTAGGGTTATGCTGGAGACGAATTTGATACAACTGACCTGTTTGGTTTTTCTCTCTTACAGGTGGAAAATGCAGAGGCTTAAGGAGCACACCTTTGTCAACATGCAACAGCAGCACAGCTGGCAAGCAGAATTGCACGAGTCTCGCAATCTTTCACCCAAGGCTTATTCTAGAAACCTCTTCCTCCCTCCCCCATCAACTGCAACAAATGTTTTGCTTGAGGAAGGAGCAAGTCCCAAAAGAGCTGCTCTCTAACTTGTGGTGCAATATCCAATCTGAGTGTTACTATCAGCTTTTGGAAACTGACTGTATAGAAAACACAGCTGATGTTTGCATATTTTAATTTTAAACATCTCTGCTTGGCATACGGATGGAACCTAATAAGGCACTTTGTTTCTGCCTCATGAATAAATTCAGCCTGCTAACAGATTTGGATAAAGCATTTTGATTCCAACTAATAAATTTGTTTTCTGTACAGCCAAAACAACTTTTGGAAGCAAAGTAAAAAGTTCTTTAGCTTGCCTGAGAGGTACTTCTATAATATCTATAAGGAATAGACCTTTTATTTTTATAATCCACTTGTTCCACCCATGTCTTTTAAATCAATCAGATAAATTCACCTTGTTTTTCAATGCCCTGAATCCTGATAGCTCTGCACACTTGATAGGTAATTTAATCATTGTTGGTGTGGATGAACACAAGCTCAAATTAGCTTCTGAAAGGCTTAGTTGTCCCGTAGATAGCTCTGCCTTTCCACTTTTATGCAGGAACTGAGCTTCACCAACTGGTTAGCTAGAGGTGTCATTAAAAATTTACAGAAAGAAACAAAGGTGTGCTCCAGTGTCTCTCCTTACCCTTTCTACTGTTACTCTGGCAAACAAAAGGTATGGAACCTGCTTCATGAATAATGGGTCATGTAATATGCATAATGCATTTTTAATGGCACACAGTAATAACATTGAGAGAGATATTTCCAATCTTCAGACTTGCTCCACAGCCTCTCAGTAGCCTGTTCTGATTCTCTCCAGATAAATCTTCTTTTCCTCTTCTTCATTTCAATTCTCCACCTTAAAGCCATTGCTTTTCTCCACGGGTAGTCGCATTTCACCCAAACCAGCAACTGGCACTCATGCAAGCAGGGCTGGAGGCATGGGAACACCCTCCCATGCAGCAACACACAAACATTTCAGGGGGTTTGGAGCTGCAACCCAACAGTTGTGCCCTGAGACACCACTAACTGCAAATGCTCTGGGAGGAGACACACTTAAACCAATAAAACACCTGTGGGTTTCTTCCCATGAAGAAGAACATTTTTGCCCCCTGTGCTGTGTCCATACTGCCTCTGGCCATCCACCCCACCCTGTGGGCAACACTAGACTCAAACCACACTGGTTGCACTGTTTGGAAATAGGATGCTCCAAAGGGGCGAGCAAACATTGATATTGTACTTTTAAAGGTAAATACCAATAACTGAGCCCGCTCAGGGCCTGCTGGAGCAAGGCCTGCTTAGAGGGAGGAAGGAGGGAGGCTGTGCCTGGCAGGAAAGGTCTTCCTGAGGGCAGAGGGACTGGGGGCAACAGCTACACCCCAGCCAACCCAAACCACTGGCCAGCACTCACTCCATCCACAACAACAGCCTCCATGGAAAATAAATACTGAGCATCACCCTGGGGCAGCCCCAAGCCGGCCTGTGCCACCTCCCCTGGCCTGGGTGGGACCCAGGGTATCACAGGCCTTCCGCATAACCACCGAGTCTCCTGCACTGACCTTCCGCATTAATTAATCCAGCATGATGGGTCTAGTGTGGTCTTCAGAGCACCTGTCACCTCCTGCAATGCCTGTGCCACATCCCTTCAGCCTGGCTGCTGTGATTGTGGCCGCGTTTCTGCTCTGTGAGACCTCGGCCTGCGGCGCCCGGCCTGGGCACCCGAGGGGTAGAGCGCAGCCCGAGCGGGTGAGCCCTGAGGGGACACGGCCACAGCCACAGCCTGCCGGGACAGCCCTGAGGGGACACAGCCACAGCCTGCCGGGACAGCCCTGAGGGGACACGGCCACAGCCACAACCTGCGGGGGCAGCCCTGAGGGGACACGGCCACAGCCGGCCGGGGCAGCCCCGCGGGGACACGGCTACAGCCTGCCGGGACAGCCCTGAGGGGACACGGCCACAGCCTGCCGGAATAGCCCTGAGGGGACACGGCCACAGTCACAGCCTGCCGGGGCAGCCCCTTGGGGACACGGCCACAGCCACAGCCTGCCGGGACAGCCCCTTGGGGAGCCAACTGAAGTTCTCAAGGGTGGCAGAAAGCAGAAGCACAGGGAGAACCTCCTTGGCACCATGGCAGGTGAGTGCCCCGGCCTCGGGCGGGAAGGGCGCCTCAGGGCTGGGCCAGCCCAGCAGGGCACAGGGCAACTCTGCTCACTGGGTTTGTCCAGAAAAAATATAAAAAGCTGGAAACATGAGTATACATACATACCCGTGTGGGCACATAAGATTACTTGCACATCTAAAAAGCCAGGCTGACATGCTGTGCTCTGTTGGGAAAAGGACAAGGGACCCCTCCATCATCCGCCTGCTTCTCTTTTGTATGGGCTGCAACTGCCAGATGGAGCCAGCACTGCTGACAAGGCAGGCAAAAGGCCATATTGTGAGTCCCAACAGGCTTAAGTGTAAATGATGCACCTGCTGCTCAGGTGTCCCTGCAAACTCCCAGGCACAGATATTTAATCTTGTGGGAGACATTCAAGTTACTCCTGGGCTAAGCAGGGACTTCTGGCTGTCTACGTTTCCAAAGCGAAGCCTTAAAACTGCATTTCCTCCCCCTAAATCCTTTTATAGTGATAGTCCAAGCCATGGTATACCCTTTGTCCTCAAAAGTGTGAATGTTTATCTGAAATCAGTAGGAATCGAACAATAAATATGGCAGTTGTGTTCTTTAATCACTACAGCCCTTGTGCCTGCATTTCCTCCTTGGATTCCCTGACAGTCACTGCGGTGTATTGTTGTAATGGCCAACATTCACAAATGTGCAGTTACATAAGAAATAATAATCACTCCGGACCATCCTCAATACTTTATTAACTTAAAACATTGTTCTAATAAATATGTATCAAGAAATGTAAGACACTCCATAAAATCTAAATAAGGACATTTACAAACTTGTCAACAAAGTAAAAACAGCTTTTTTTTTAAACTGAGGTACATGCAGAGTTGTTAAGGCAAATTAAGTAAATTATACTTTTATAGTAAGTCCTGCCCACCTCAGAAAGTTTCCCTTTAAAAATTTAAAAACCAAAAACAAAAATACAACTGATGGTATTGAGTAGCTATTTTCCAGTTATTAGAACAAGCCCAGAGTGTAGAAGCCAGTAATGGTTCTGGACAGAAAGTCTGTGCTTCCCTGGTGCTCCTGCCCTCCTCAGGCAGGTTCACTTGTTGGATTGGTTTCTAGTTCTAAGGCATAATTCTGTGCTTTGGCTTTTCCACTGGTCTTTCACAAGCTTCCTTCTCCCTAGTGGATGTAGGAAGAAGTAACCCTCCATGCTTCAAACACACTGGCAGTCGGGCCTTGCACAGAGAGAGATGGCTCAGGGAGGATAAAAAGGACCTCTCTGTAACTGTTAATACAGCTCCTGATTTGCACCAGAATAAGTGAGAGCAGGATCAGACCCAAGCTGGTACCTTTGGTTAAAAACCAGCAAGATGTCAAATTACACAGTCCTGATCCTCCAGGTTTTCCTGACAGGAAGTCATCCAAGAGTGAACCCATTCAGCACTGAAGTCAACCAGGGCAGGTGCTGATTGCTCTCTGCCATTACCCCATGTAAACACTGTTATACCCATGTTTTCCTGCCAGCTGATTCAAGCTACTGAAAACTTGAAGGGGTTCATCATGGCCATGGGAGAAATATTTTCCAGCTTGCAGATATTTGATAGCTTATCCGTCTTTGGAGTATTGGGCTTTATATCTAAAAGGCTTGTATTTCAGTGTTATTTCAGAAACAACGAGGGAAAGAGAAAGAGAAACCCCAGCCTTTACTTTCCCCTTCACAGTCATTCAGGCTGAGCTGTCAACATATGGCTCTTTCCTCCTAGAGCTCCTGTTCAGAAAGGTAATGCCAGGGTCCGCGTTCAAGACAGGGTCCAGCAGGGAAGCCAGGGGAGTCTGTTCTCATAGTGTTGTAGCGCTTTCCGGACTGCAGCTGGGACTCATTTCAGGCCGTGCTGTGTCTCCCGGTGTCTCCGTAAATCCACCTTCCGCTGGAAGCCTTTGCCACACAGATCACAGCCAAAGGGCTTGAAGCCTGTGTGCTTCCGACTGTGGGTGATGAGGTTGGAGCTTTGACTAAAGGCTTTTCCACACACCTGGCACTTATGAGGCTTCTCACCTGCAAGCAGAAGGTGGGAGAGAGAGGCTGTGAAAGAGGCAACATGCTGATTATGTGAGACCACAGCAAATATACACTGGTACTTAGGGCTTATCAAAGAGATTTTTGTGTGATTACCTAAGTCATTTTTACAAAAAGACATGGAGTTGGGAGCCCAAGACAGAGCATTAACTGAGCAGGCCTGGACTTGGGTGCACCTCCATCAGCTCAGCATAGTCCTGAGAGTAGCCTGAAGCATGGAGTGCTCTCAGGACACCAGACCTTGTGAGTGCATTTGGCTGCATGGGCTCTGTGAAGTTTAAACTGGCTTTGTGTCCTAGGAATATGAGGAACTCCTGGAAAAGTGATGAATGCCTGACATTGATTACTATACCATCAGCATGAGGGCAGATGGAATAGGTAGATAGAAGTTGTTAAAACAAACCCAGTGATCTGGGGTCTGTCCCCAAGGGAGGTATGAGGGCCATTAAGTGAACCCTGAAGGGCAAGGTTCATCCAGGGTTCTCTCTGTTCCCCACACTGCAATGCTAGCAGTCAGAGCCCTGAAGTTCTCCTGCAGGCAGATAATGTAAATGGGAATAAATACAACCTCTGGAACTTCTACTGAGGAGTCAGTGACAAAACTCCATGGGAGCAGGATCCAAGTGTATTTTCCTACTGTTTATTATCAAATAACAAATAAAAGGGAACCCAACCACAATAACAACCCAGATTTTCAGAGTGGCTTTGCACCTGCAGAGCCCACTGGCTTCAGCTGGGAACAACAAACTCTTTGGGTGTTTGAAGTTCAGATTCTTAGAATCAAAAAAATAATGCAAAGTGTGCTTAAGGCTCATTTCACATGTATATGGTGCATATGAAAGGAATCCCTCATTCAGTTAAAGACTTGCTTTTATATTAGCAATTTAAAAGCCCTGGCACAGTTTCTGATCTTACAGGAAAATAATCTGACAGATTTAGAATTTGTCTGAAATTCTACTTAATCAGGCATAATTTGAAAAAGGTACTAAGGAGCTACTTCTTGTATTATTTCATAAATAGTTCATTTTCATCCAGCAACATTCAGTGAAAAATCTTTATAAGTAACATTTATTATTCACAGTTTGTCACCTAGAAAAGTCACAGCTAAGCAGTGCTACGTATAGTGCCATTTCTCTACATATTTGCCCTTTCTAGGCTTCACCCTTTATAGCTGCTAGTGGCCACTATCAGGAAAAAGGACTTTGATCATCTGAACTGTACATTTGTCCAGTACAACTGATATTTCATGTGTACAGGTTCTTCCATATCTTACACATTCATTTCCCTCTACTCAAGTGAACCATGCAGGTCTGAAAAGCAAGATATTCTTTTAATGATTTCTGATATGATAAACCTGCCTTCTCACTGAATTATACTTTTGAAACAATTTCCTTTGGTGATTCACCTGCACTTTATATTAGTTTCCATGTTTATTAGTAACAGTGAAACTTGAGAACTCTGCACCTCTCCTATTCAGTATCAAACTGTAGCCATTTCTCAGAAAGTCCAGGTGGAAGTGCAGACAATCTCTGAACAAATATTTAGACTAAGACCTAGGCCCTCTAGTTTAGTGTTTGATCTAGAGGAAGAGACTCCTGTTGTTCCTATTGTAAATTGGTAGATCCTGCAAAAAGCAATGCTGAAATCAAATTTACCTGTCATTTTCCTGGGACCTCAGCTGTAAATCAAGGCCACATGAATATAATACTCTACAAATCATCTTACACAAAAGCCCTGTGAATAAACATTGGTGGATCCTATTAAGGAAACACTGATTGGATTGCGAGGATTTTTGTAGGTTATTTTGCAGCTGCTGTCCGTTAAACCTCCTCCAGATCACCCTGCTTTGCCCAAGTACAGCTCAGGTAACATGAACAGCAGCAGGACAGTGAGACACACAGGGAGGTGTGTGTGCTGTCCCAGCTGAGGAGGAAGGGACTGCTGCAGACAGACCTCTGGGACGTGCCCTTGTGCTGGGGCTGACACTAGCAGTTGCAGGGCTGACCTGTGTGAATGAAGGTGTGTTTCTTCATATCAGATTTCTGGTGGAACCGCTTCCCACAGTACTGGCACGGATAGGGTCGGGTGTCTGAGTGGATGAGCAGGTGGGTGGAGAGAGTAGAAGATCTCTTAAAACTCTTGCCACAAATCTTACAATCAAAGCTGCGTTCCTGCAGAGAGATGAGCCCAGACACACACATCACACCAATGATCCCATCAGCAACAAACTGCCCAGCAGCACATGAGTGTTGCCCCTTCTGCATTAGCAAGAACTTACACTTCTCCAGAGAGCTGGACTGGCCTACACAGATAACACTGGCTTGATAGCAGCACCACATGATAAAAAAGATAATAGATCTTCTCCTAGTGCTGTGCACTACTAAAATGTAATTGAACAGCTCTTCCTGCTGGCAGGAATGGCCAGGTGGGAGCAACCCCAATGGACTAGGCAGAGTCTGCCAACACACTTTATCAGAGGCCTGAGACACAATCACTCTACTGGGAAGCCCAACAGCTGCAGCACTGTTCAGAGGCCACCTCTCCACTGTACACCGGAAAGTGGGTGCCAAGGGCTGCTTGGGTTTCTTGGGAAATCCCTCTGGTAGACTGAGTTCTGGCATGGTAACAACTAACTGCTTTTTTTAGTTCCATTAAAATTCAAGTGGAAGGTATGTAGAGCACCTGGGACAAACAGCTTTTCAGCTTACTACTTTAACATATAAAACCAAATATATTAAGATCTTACTGTCTTTCACCTCTCCCTCACACACTCCTCTCCATCAGTTTCTTTTACCACATATCATCTCTTCTTTACATCCCTCAACTTCCATTGCACCTTCTTCTTCCTTCTTTGCTTACTTCAATGCTTTCACAGAATCACCTTCTTTATTTGGCTTTTATGCATTCTCCCCAAAATGCTGTCCCCTCCATGGACACATTATGCAGTGCTGCTCTTTTCACCATTGTTTCATGGATAATGAGAAATCTCCCTTCATTGTGTGCTCTGCTGGTTGCACACTCACAAAATTATAAAGAGCAAAAAAACATTACTGTAACTCTATCCTCCAAAAGTCAATCTGAAGAAGGAAGATTTGCTGGGTCAGGTGGGTGGGGAAGGGGAAACATGGCATGGTATCAGAAGGTGGAAAATGTTACAAGTCCTCCTACCAAAATTAACCATCATATTCTTTTGGTGTGTGACTCAGTGTGTCGAGACGGGTGAAGTCAGTGCCCTATACCTGAATGGTCGTTTAGATGTTCCCTGCACTGACAAAAATTACTACAAACAAGGGAAGACTCACTTCTTTGTGGGAGGGAGGAGAAAGAATGAGGAGTGCTGCATCAGAAGAAATCACACTGAGTTGCTTTAGCTGTTAAAAAAATAGCCAACGTCTGCATTACAATTTCCAGCTCTGAGAGTGAACATTTATTATTTTCTGTTACTGCTTGAGTGCCAGAAGTGCACATTGCTTAATACAGACTACGCATGCAAGGTCTGAAGAATAGAAACAAAGCCTGTGTTCTTTAATTACCTGATAGCTCCTCTGCACACTAACTGGCCACCCTTTCCTCTGATTCTCACCATATCCTTCACCTACAACTGCCCACTGCAGCTCTCCCACGCTCTCTTCCCCTCCTCAGTATAGGTCTCTGGCTCCTTGCCCTGTATTTGCCTTCGTGGCTTCCCCAGCCAGCAGAATGGAGCAGCTGGCCCTGGCCCCCAGCCGCCCATGCTGGCAGCCTGCGTGCTCTCACCTGCGAGTGCACGGCCTTGTGCTGCTCCAGGCTGACTGCATGGCCGAAGGTCTTGCCACACATGTCACAGGCAAAGGGCCTCGTGCCGCTGTGTGAGCGGCGCACGTGTACCTCAAGGCCATGCGGTGTGGAGAAGACCTGAGGAAACAGAGTGCACAGCGTCAAGGTTGCCAGGGAGAAAGGGCTGGGGGGAGTCAATCCAGTGTGGCAGAAAGGGATCCCTACCTTGCTGCACTTGACACACTTGTAAGAGCCAGCGCTGATGAGCAGGGGGCGGCACAGAAGCTCAGACTCCACTTTGATGCCACCTGGCCCCTTCTCCTGCTGCAGCCCAGGCTGCGTTTCGGCATAGAGTCCAGGAGCTGCTGTTGGCGGCCGCTCAAACAGCCCCGGGCCCGGGGAGCTGAAGTCACCGTACAGTCCCAGGGAAGAGCTGCACTCGGCACCATAGAGGGCGGGCTCCGAGCCTCGGTCGCAGAAGAGCCCCAGGGCTGAGGTCCGCTCCAGCCCCGGGCAGGGCCTGTAGCTTTGCACGAGGTGCCTGAGCTCGGAGCCACCCAGGCTGTTCCACATGTAGGGTTTGAAGGGCACCGAGAAAGGGGGTGCTTCATCTAGGGACGGACACACAGATCTCTCCGAGGCTGTGGAAACACAAGGGCATGGGAATTGGTGCACTTCACAATCCACACTATAATGAGGCAGAGCAGTCTCAGCACCCAGGCTCAAGTCCAGAGCCTGACCCCTGTACTGCACTTTGAGGCTGCCCTTTCATCTCAATGGGAGGACATTTTATATTTCATATTACAATCTGAGTATCCAGTACTAACTCCTTGCCCAGTTATTACTCCAGCCAAATTATTTAAAGCCAACATCAATTTTGTCTACCTCCATCTCTGGATACCTCGTGTGTACACACTGATCTGACTAGCAAGACTCTAAACAACTCGGTCTGCAACTTCCTACAGTTTTATCTGCAGCTTCTTTGAAACATGTATCTACCATATCGTAAGATGGACATCAAAGCTGACAGTCCACATGTTTAAGCTCTGATGGAGATCACACACACACACACACACACACACAATATATATATATATGTGTGTGTGTGTGTGTGTGTCTGTGCAAATATAACATTACAAAGGTGCCAGGCAGAGCAAATGTGCTGAGATTTACCTGGTCAACAAAATGAAAAAAACTTGTTGCACAATTTAATGCCCAAATCTAGTCTCTCAACTTAATGCCACAACTGACCATAACTATACTGCAGAATAACTTAAATAAGTAACAGCTTCTAAGGTGCTTGCATGTTATGCTTCACTTTTTCAGAAAAAAAAAAATTACTTCTCATCTGAAAGAAAATCATAGTTGTTTCAGATTGCTCTGAGGTTCTCCATATAAAGAAATTGAGTCCACCCAAAACACAGTGCTTTGTAAAATCATTGGGATGGGCCACATCCAAACCTGAAGACACAAACCCATTTTCCTAGCAGTCATAATCAAAGCAAATTTCCACCAGGGCAAGCTTAAATGGCTTCAGCAGGCTCGAAGAGGCTTGCCTTCAGCAGTGGCATCTGACCAATGCAGTGGGCACATGAGTCACACTTGGGGAGCAGAGTCTGATACAACGGCAGGAGCACAGCTTTTGAGAGGAGTCTCTAAAGGCACAACTGCTCAAAGAGCCTCACATGGAGGAAAGCACAGCTGGGATGGAACATGAGGCACCAGACCCCAACAGTGTCTGCCAGAGATGCTGATTAATGCCTGAGGTGCGCTGCTTTCACTCCTTATCATAACAGGCAGCAGCACTGGGAGAGTCAAATGTCTCCACTGGACAAGTTTTAGTGAGGCAAGGAAGAGATGAATCAATTAACTACTGAAATGCTGATGTCTTCATGGAGATATTGGCTTCCCTTATAACTTGGGCTTCCAGAGTAACCTCCTTTAACCAGAAACTTGTCCACCCACAATGAATCTCTTATTTATTCATGTCAGGTCCCACGGCTTTTTCAGCTGTTGGCAAACCAAGATAAATGGGGGTGGACTAAGCAAAGAAGGCACGATGTGTTAGGCTATCCACTTGGATAGGCAAGTGGTCACCAAGGGGTTACAGAAGGCAGTAGGAAATGAGGTTAAAATTGAGCTTTGAATGACTTGGCTTTTTCCTATCTTTTACATAATTTCAGATGTTAACAGTCTCAAATTCTTCCATTGAAATTAGCAATCTTTTGGTTGGAAATATACGCACAATACCAGCTGGGACATTTGAAGAGAGTGATGAAATCAAATTAGCTGACATGGTGTTCAGCATGATTTTTCCTGTTCTGCACTGACTGCAAAGTTGTGGTCAGCATCACATCATCTATCTTGTATCTTTGCAACCAGTTTCAGTGTTGCCATCTCACATGATTTTATCACAAAATTCAAACCTATCTTAAAGTCCCAGCTCTTGAAATGGCGTGATTTCATCAGGCCCTCAGCTCTGCTTTTGTTTGTTCTAAGTGTATTTTTTTCCTTTTAAAGTCAACTTGTAGCTCAAACTGTAAGAAAAGCATGAAAACATAAACCCTCAATATTTCAACACTAGAACTGAATATCCATAAGGTATTACTTACAATCTTGACTTCTGAGCCAGCTCATTGAGTGAGAGGGAAGGCTGACCTGATTTTTGAGCCCTTGGAATTGGCAATACAGTATACAGTGAACATTGCACCACAGATCAGTTTGCGTGCAATGTTCCTTCCATCACCTCACATGCTTTGGAGCCCTCTCAAGCACAAATGCAGGATATTTCCTCACAATATACTCAAGCTATCCAAGCTTAGTGGCAAAGCAACCTCCAAACTCTGCTCTCCCACACTGCAAGGCATTTCTGTATGTGCCTCTTCTCCACAGCATCTAGGGGGGAGCAGAGACACAGAGAAATATTCTCCCTCATTTTCCTAGAAATTCTGTGCAGCCGTTATAGAGACTACTTCTGGGAGAAAAAAAAAAAAAAAAAAAAAAAAAAAAAAAAAAAAAAATCAGTGCTTGCTTTTGAAGGCAAGACAAACTCAACCTTAAATGGTTGGCAACAGATTGATATGCACAGCAAAAAAAGATTGGAGCATCCTCTTACACAAAACACCACATTTTCTGCACAGCTCCATTATACCCAGGAAAAGTCTTTCTCCTTCTGCAGCATCAACAGGCTCATCAGGAGCTACTAATACTGTTGCACTGAGCTGTCATGCACCTTCTGCATATGCACATGTGTGTGATTAGACACATGTAGAAGGTGAGATTAAATAAAGTGATTTGCACTGGTGGAGTTAACAGCTATTATGTCTGTGTGTTGTATGACTGCCTACATCAGCAGCACAGCACTCAAAGACCAAAGTGAAATAAATACAGCTTTCACTGCATATTGAATTGCAACCTGCAGCTGTGTTCACTTCCAGAGATACAGGAGTGGTAGTACTACTCACCACACACGCCTTCAGCGTGATTGAGAACCTGCATTTCTCACCTGCTCTGCCTGGCAAAGCACAAAAATTGTGCCCCATCTGAACACAATTGTAGGAATACTGTTTCTCACCACTGCATGTTGCAGAAGTGACCTAGACACAAATTCCAGCTTCACACTGAGTCTAAGAAAGCAGCTGGAAGGCAGTGGGGCTGGAGGAGGTGAGCTGTGGGAGGAAGCCCAACTATCTAATCCTGTTGCCACTGCCTTCATCATTAATATAACAGCACGTCACTCAATGCACTGAGATTCATTTAATAAAGCTCTTATGTGCTTGGAGTCCTGTACATTCCCAAACCTCCTTTGAATGGAATCAGATGGCCCCAGGATTGCCTATCCCACCCTTAAGAATCTTGATCTGGGGACATCGTCCTCATTTTGTAAAGATATCTTCCCTGGACAGCCTGATGGTTGGTCAAAAGCTGATGAATGTGAGGGAAGAAATAAGAGGGAAGGAGGAAAAGGCAGAGCAGACCTGATAAAATACCTGCTCTATTTCACATCTATCATTTTGACACCCCGTGAAAATGGTCTGTTTCCTGTGCAGAAATTGTAGTTATTTGGGAAAGGAGAAGCAGGAAAAATTCATTAGAACAAAAATTACACACATTGCTACTGTGTCTGTGCAGAAATATTACCAGAAGAGTAATGCAGCAATGTTGCATTTGGACTGGTGTGTCATTTGCACAGACTGAAAGTGTCCTGTGGCTGATGCTGGACAGCATTTTGAATGTCCCCTTAACGGAGCTTAGACTCTTGAAAGAAGATGCGGCTTTAAAAATGCAAATTCAAATCATTACAATTAGCCATTCATATGCACGGACACTGCAAAGACGAAGTGGGAATGGGTGGCAAACCGGGCTAAGTATTTTTTTGCTGGCGTCTGCTGTCAGTCGGTAAAGCTGACACAATTTTTCCTTCATCAAGACAAAAATTGTCCTTTTTCCAGCTGTCTCTTTTTAATCGAGGCAATAAAAAGTGGTTATATATATACATATTTTTGTTCTAAAATGACGCCATTGTATTTTTAAACGAGATAAGTATTTGTGCCAGGCTGGGGACAGCGTCTTCCACTGCTCCAGCCACATCAAAGGCAGGACAAGGGAGCTAGAGACAGGCGCTGCAGCCATAAGTGTGAGTTTCCTGGATTTGGGGTGTTTAAATTTGACCATCACTGGGTTTTTTTCCCCTCTGTTTTTTACAAATGTGTTTTTAGAAAAGAAAAATAAACAGACATTTTAAAACCCCAAACCAAACAAAAATACAAAGAAACAAAAACACAAAACAAAAAGAAAACCCCCAACCAAATAGTGAAAGAAAGGGCGTTAGGAGAATGTCTAGCCGGCTGTACAAAACACAAAATCAGCTCTGTTTACTGCAGGTATATAAATTGCCTATACTGTCTAAAAAGACTGAAAAACTCTGTGGAGGCACGACACTGTAGGAGAATGCTAGGACCATTAAACATGACCTGGCTCGCCTCTAACAATTAATCGCAAATAAAAAAATAACACCCCATGTCACGACAACTTTCCTGCTGTAGCGTGTCACCTGCTGCTCCCTCAGGAGCACAATACGGGCTGGAAAAGCAACCCAAAAGAGGGAACCCGAAAACGAGGGGAAGGAACAGATTCTGGCAAACCTGGGGGAAAAGTAATAATAATTTTTAAAAGGGCCAGGCAAATCTGTCCCTTATACTCGTTTGTAGTGGTGGCGCACAGCCATGAGCTGCATGGTCCAGTGCCCCACGGCACGGGCACGGACATGCAGCCGGACCCTCGCTGAGCGCTGCTCGCCCCGGTCCTACCTGGCGAGACGGAGGGCGAGGGAGGTCTCCAGAAGTCCTCGAACTCGGACACTCTGTCACAGACGCTGCCCTCGCAGCTGGGCGCCGACTCGGAGGTGCCATCGGCAACCTCAGTAAGGTGGGATTCCGGGGAAAAGCGCCCCCGGGAAGGCTCCGGATCGGGCAGGGCGGTGCGGCATAGCTCCGTGTCCTCGGGGATCTTGCAGGGGTCTGCAGGGCAAAGGAGAAGAGGGAACTCCTCAGCGTGGGTCCGTGGTGGGAGCCAGCCACCTCCCGCGCGGCCCGCTCCCGCCAAGGTTTGATGCCCGACTCTCCAAGCCCGCATCAGCCCCTCCGGCGTCCCGCAGGGGCTGCAGAGCAACCGCCCGGTGCCGAGAGCACCGAGGTGATGTCGGGCGGGTGGACAGTCTCCGAGTGAGGATGCGACAGAGGGACTCCTACCTGCACAGATCTGGGCTAGCACCGTCTCCAGCCGCAGGCTGTAGTCCTCGTCAGCAGAGCGAGGCTGGTGGTAGCTGTGCGCTTTCTTGCTCTTCACTAGGAAGGACCTCGGCATGGTGGGGTGCTGTCACGGCCGGCGCGGCCGCACTCCCTCTCTAAGAGCCGGGCACGGCAGCGGCGGCGAGCGTCACCCCCGAATCTCCTGCGGGGCGGCGGCGGGGAGGCGACCTGCGGAAAGGCGCCGCGCCCGCCGGTGAGGGCCGGGGGCGCCGGCCAGGAGGGGCCGCTCGCCAGGGGCGGCGTGCCAGGTGGCAGCGCGCAGGTGGCTCCGGCCACCGCCCCCGGCCCCGCTCGCCTCGCCCCCTCTTCCAGGAGTGCAGATAACTCAGCCTCCAACCGCCCCCAGCCAACGCCTTTTACCCCCCCCCTTCCTCCCACCGTGGCCTTGGGGCCGCCCCGGACACGCTCCAACAGCCGCTGCCGGATTGCGGGGAGCAGGCAGTAACAGAAGCTGGGCACCGTTCTTCGGACGAGCGGGGGCTGACTGAGCTAGGGGGTGCGGTCGGGTGTTATCCCGTCCCTCAAGTGGGCACACCGCGCCTCCGTGTTTGCCCCTGCGCCGGCAGCCACGGCAGAAGCGGTGCCATCCGAAACAGCTTATCACGTCCCACCACCCTGGACGGGCTGGCCGGCGCGGGGTTGTTACCGGGATGGGAGGGGGAGTCGTTCCAAACCCGACAGCCCAAACCTGGCGCCTGAGAGACTGTTGCTGTCGGAGGGACTGATTCACCCATCCCGCGCGAACCACGATAACACGAAAACGAACAAAACGGAATCTCTCTTCCAGCCCGCAGCTGTCGGCGCCGCGCCACCTTGCAGCTGCGAGCACCGAAAGCCGGGGCGGGGAAAGCAGACAAGGTGGGAAATCTCCTGCGGGAGTCGGGGGGGACCGGGTTAAACAAAACTACCCCGAGCCGACTCTTCGGGAGAAGGCCGGAGAGGTTCATTCGAACCCATCCAGCACCGGGCCGCCTCTGCCGTTACACTTGACTTTGCGAGTTTAATCCACGTTCGTTTGGGGGATAGGGCACTTCGGAGGGTTGCAAACGGGGAAGAGAGGGAAGAGCCCCAGTCCACCAGCTGGGGCCCAGGAACTGCCCCGCAGGTGGCGGCACTGGCTGCGCCACAAAGCTCCGGCCCGTCCGCGCCCGGCAGGGGCAGGGCTGCTCAGCGCTGCCAGGGAGGCGCCGCCCCCCGGGTGGGAGCGTTGCTGCCCGGACCCACCTGTGCCTGCGTTCATCCTTGAGCAGGGGCTAGCAGCCGGCGGGCCCGCACGGAGGGGGCAGAGAAATCAAAGCGGCCCGATAGCGCGTTACCCACCCGCGCCCCGACAGCAACGGCAGCGGCAGCCGTTGGGGGATCCGGCGCCTCTCCTGCAGCCTGTTTCCCTCCAAAAGTCACGCCGCGGAGGCGCCGCCGGCTTCCCAAGGCCGGAGCTGGCCAGGCAGGTGCCAGGCCCGTGGGAAGGCGAGTCCTGCAGCCCACCTGGCCGCCGTTCGCCTCGGCTCCCGCTGGCCGCACCCGCCCGGCTGCCGTCACTGCGGGGGCGCGGGGCTGGCGCCGGGCCGCGCGGTTGAGGCAGGGCCGGAGCGGCGCGGGGTCCCAGCCGAGAGCAGAGGGGTCGCTGCCGCCCCAGCCCGCCCGCCGGCAGCTGCCCACGCGAGGCGAGAGAAGCGAGAACGCTTACCCATTTGGAGGGCCGAAGAAAGCTGGGCTGCGGACGGGGTATGCGCGGGGCAGCCTGCTAATTTATGTGACTTTAAATTTAGCCTCCCTTTAAGGAGCAATGGTGCTTGAGTTGGCTTTTTTTTTTTTTTAACTTTTCTGTCTCTGTCAACTCCTTCAGAGCTCGGCCCCCTAAACCACAAATTCCACTTCCTGAGCGTTAGTTAGGAGCTTCTGCAAAAAAAAAAAAAAAAAAAAAAAAAAAATTACAAAAAAGCGCCAAAGCCTCACAAATCAGTAGTGTTCCCCGCCTCTGTTTCTCTCTCAGCTTTCCTTAAATGAAAACGTCTTACCGTATTCCACCTCACAGAGCTCGCTGAAGTGACATCGAAGTGTCATTCTGGAATCGGGCGTTTCGTTTCTCTCGGGGTTCTGCTCTAGAAATTACACACATCTATCTGAACTATTCTTGGATCCCCTTCGACTTCCGCAACGAGAACAAGTCACAGATTCAAAACACAGATTGATTCGGGCGGGCAGAGGGCAGGGGCTGGGGCAGCCGGCGCTCGCCCTGCCCGCTCCGCGCCGCATCCCCTGCCCTTGGCCCGGCAGTGGGGGAACACAGCTCCCGCCGCCATCGGGCCGTGCATGGCGTTGTTATCGGGGCTAGGGCCGGGCCCTGGGCGCGGAGACCTCTCCTAGGCTTGAAATAACTTGTTGTGGAAAACTCTTCTGGGATAAATACGCCCAAAGGCGCTGAAAATACCTAAAGACCCAAACCTAGAGGTTTGCTCATTTCCCTTCGGATTTAGGTAATGGTTAAATATGGAAGGGGTAGGCGAGAGGTGTCGTCCCCCCGTCCCGTCCCGTCCCCCCCACCCCTCCCGGCCACTGTTGCTTGACTGCGATTCAAACTCTAAGGCGAAAGCGGAGCGGAACCAGGCAAAGCGGGGAAAGATTGCCCTCCTCCTCCTCGTCTGCGTGCCGGTGCTCAGGTGCTAACTCGGGGTGGATCCGTGGGGCACCGCGACGAGAACGGTAACGGGATTCGCATCAGGCAGCATCCTGCACCGCTGGGGACCCCTGCGTTGCACAACGGGGAAGCCTGCTCCCTTCTGCAAAAAGAAAAGGGTTCGCCTTGCTTTATGCACACACACGACCCCAAAATACAGTTTTCCAGGTCTCATCTCGGATTCCTAATGCAGCCAGGAAGTCAAGCTTAGATCTTCAGTATCTTTCTGAGGCGATTCTGGGCTTCGGTCTTAGACATCTCAGGCCATCAGCAACTTCGTTTCAGTGACTGTAGGATCGACTAAAGTGCGACACTGCAGTGAGCGAATCGAGGTTTAACACCATTTCTCGTTCAGAAACGACAGAAGCAAACTTCAGCTTCCCTCACGCTCAGGAGTATGCTGGCTTTGAGACCAGATGCTTATTTTTCTCCACCAGTCCCGAAGCATTTACAGAAAAATTAGCCACTTGGTGATTGTGAGCCTGTACGGGCTAGTTCATAGGAACTAGCCCGACTTCCCAAAATCTAGCTAAGCAAGTGAACACCACCTCGAGTAAAACTGTCCAACAGCTGTGTGATGTTTTACTGTGACACAAAAGGAAGCTGAAGAACACGACTGATAGCTTCATTTTTGCCGGAAAATTCCTGGTGCTGGGCACAGCAGTTTTACTTTCCGCAGTCGCCTTGGTGCCATCAGCCTTAGGTTGATTACTGCGAAGATCATTCACGCCTTCAGCTTCAAGAATCAATGCTGGAATCAGCAGAAATAACCAGATGAGAACAACTGTGTATAATTTCGTGTATGTGCCTTCGTTGACTCACTGTTACCTTTTGCAAAACAATCTTTCTCGTTTGCTTCTGAAATGGGATGATAAATTAATGCCCTTTCGTTTACCTTGCTACACATCTCTCTGACTGTGTAATGAAAGCGCCAGAACACATTAAATTACTAGTAACGCTCACAAATAATTGTGACCTGGTTACAAGAAAATACACATTCGTCTTTATATATGTAAATTTAAAGTGTGTACAGGTGCTGCTGTGGGCAGTAAGGCAAGGCGTGGTGATCTCCGTTCGGAGGGTGTCTGCAGCCTTCTAGGAAGCGGGATGGGCTGCCGGGCTCCGCTGGGGCTGTCCTGCGGGGGGCTCCCTGCTGAGCCCCTTGCGCTCACCTGCGGACGGCCCTTTCTCACCTACTGCTTCCTAATCAGGTTAAACCCCTTCAGCAGAAATAAATTAAATCCAACGAGTGAACAAAGCAAATGCTAAATCTAGCATATAATCTCTCGTGTGAACGTGGGTGCTGCACGGGCACAGGGAACGCACCTCCGGCTCCTGAGGTGTCAGCTTTCTCAAACGATTAGAGGAGAAATGGTACGAAACTGGCTGTGTTTCGTGTTTTGCAAAACTAGTTCGTGCTGAAGCACATCCTCTGCCTTCCCGAATCTCGGCTGGACGGGCGATTTGTTTCACGCCTCCGGTGAGGACGGGGGAAGCGGGGCGCGGGCCGAGCAGCAGCCGAGCAGCGCCGAGGATGACCCGACTCTGCCTGCGAAGTTTTGTCTTTAGCTCTGTCACCGGAAGGTGCGCGAGCAGCAGCTTTGGCCGGGACGTGGCGGGCTGCGGGTCATGACACGGGCCGGCGATAGCGGGGGCCGTGAGGGCTCGCACAGCCCGCTCCGCCCGCGGGGCTCGGCACGACCGGCGGTTGTGGGGGCCGTGAGGGCTCGCACCGCCCGCGGGGGCCCGGCACGGCCGGCGGTAGCGGGGGCCGTGAGGGCTCGCACCGCCCGCGGGGGCCGGGCACGGCCGGCGGTAGCGGGGGCCGTGAGGGCTCGCTCTGCCCACGGAGCCCGCGGGGCCCGGCACGGCCGCCTCGTGCGCACGGGCTGCTGCGTCACGTGCCCGCGGGCGGAGGCGCGAGGCCGGCGAGGCGAGAAGCCCTGAGGGGAGCCCTCAGCAGCCTCCACAGCCATGGTCCCACGGCTCTTCCCACCCCGAGAGGAGCTGCTGTCTGCGCTACCAGCACGCCGAGCAGAGGTGAAGGGGTTCAGCTTTTATTCTTGGTTTACGGTGTGACCTGTGTGCCGCAGCTCAGTAACCATTGAGATGGTCTTGCGCCTGCAGTGCCGAGCTGTGTGACAGTGCCAAGTGTTCTGTGGTCCAGCGTGGAAAAGCCATACGTCAAGCCCAGAGCTGGCACAGCGATGTAATTAATGGGAAATGTAAGGCTGGGTTGTAACGAAATTACACTAATACGTCTCTCAAAGGGAGTGTGATATTCAAAGTTAAACATTAAAACTTCGTAAGATGCATTTGAATGCAATGGCACATGATTGTTATACCATTGTGACAAGAGAGGGGAATAAATAAATAAAAGGAGGGGTTTAAAGTAGGGTGGGATTATGTAATAGTCGTGTTTAAGATTGAAGAGCTACTCAGTGTAATTCACTGCACGGTTTACAGTAGTTGCCTGGTGTCAGCATTAGAGCTAAAACATCAGATAAGGCACAAAAGGTGTCAAGCTGGAGGTGAGATCTTTGCTTTCAGAAGTGATGAGACACTTTGCAACAGGAGGAAGGATTTGAAGAACAGGATTTGACAGGTTAGCTGCTTGGTACAGAGGGGAGGAGAAGTGGTTTCCTGTGTGGGGGAGCCAGGACTGGGAGAAGGCAGCAAAAAGAATGATGCTGTGGGGAATTTATACCCACTTTAAAGTGATAAAACTTGGGATCACAGTTATGCAGAACACTTCCACTATGAAAAGCTGCTAGAACTTGTAGCACTGTGCATTCCGTTGGGAAGTGTGTCTTTACCTTTGTAAAACCTTGCTTGTTTTTTTTTTTCCCCCAGCATCTTATCACTGCCTTCTCTGTGGTCCTCCTTTTGGCATAAACACATGCTGTAAATATGTCAGAAATTAATCAGTGATTTTGATTGCAATTTTTTTGATTGCTGGAGAAACCAAAGAAACTTCTGCTGCTCCCAGAGCAGATTAGAAAATGATCACTGTGAGCACAAACTGGAGAAAGTGATGGTAGGCTCTGGTGTTGAAAGCTAGGATGAAAAGAGGGATTCCAGCTTTGGGAAGGAGTGGACCCAGAATGTACCTCCACAGTGAACAGAAAACAGTTGAATCAATAGTTACAGAACATAGACTGTGCAAAATGTTCTCATAGGAATTCTAGTTTTCATAGTGGGGCACCAGAAATTTCGGTCACTTGTGCAGTACTATGCAATTCAAAGAGTTTACATGCTTTTTCACCTTATGCTTTTAGTATTCATATTGAGCTTTTCCAGCCTGCATGCAAGAGCAAATCTAAGCAAATAGCAATGTTTGTTAGAAGGTAATGAAATAATGGTGTGTAGCATAATTAGCATGTTTTATTTGTTGACACATTATTATATATATTGTCTATTATGTTAATGATTTGTCATTATTCTGATGTATATTCAAATTATAATATACATAGGCAAAGAGATTAGTGTCATTTGTTTGCCAGAAGACTTGGAGAAAAAGCAGAATGATTCTGAAGAACCTATCCTGGTCTGCCTTTCTAGGATAGTCTGTGTATAACCAGGTCTGAAACTGCAGTGTGTTCAGTGATTCACTTTTATCACTAGAAGAGATGTAGTCAGTTGGATAAGGACTTCTGCAGATTTTTATTTATGCTATTATTCAGTATCAGTATTTATTCTATTTGTATATTTAAAACCACAAAAGTTCAGGAAATAACCCTTACCATCTAATCTCATTTGCTATCACTTGAACCGTAAGGCAGTTATTGCAAAATCATAACACTCCACTATTCAAACAGACACAGTTTTTATGGCCCTCCAACTGAATTTTACTCCTGCCACTTATTACAGAACATTACCTTTAAGAGAGGCTTGCAGCTGGTACTGATGACAGGCAACAAGACATTTGTCACCTATCCTCTTGGGCAACAATGATCCAGGTGCAAACATCAGTTAGCAGATGCTCATTGGAAGGAAAGAAGACAACTGTTACTCATTTGTGAACAGAATGCTTCTGATTTGGTTTTGCATACATGACATTTTCAACAGGAATAAGAATCACTCAGCTAATCCAAGTCAGAAGTGGCAATTTCCACAGGCTGTACTTGGAGGTACATATCCACTGGTAGGAGATGTGGAAATTTGGCAGAAATACTGAAATAAGTTAGGAGCTGCAGAAATCAGTAATCGGGAATTTGTCACCTACATGCTTAAAGATTTAAATTAGATTGCACCTGGGCAGATAGTTATAAATATTGTTGAGATGCCCATAATATGCTGTTTCCATACAGTCCTTATCATTCTTTGAGTGTTTGTTAGCTCCTAGTTATGCTGTTTCTTTCTTAAAACACATTGAAAATAAAGGGAAAGGAAATGCCAAATGGGACCAGCAGGTGCATTCAGCAGAATGCTTCCAGACGTTTTTTGCAATTTTAAACAACTACACTGCTTCTTGAGGGTAGCAAGCCAGTTAACATACACACTGCTTATCAGTACCAAACTTCAGCACCATTACTTTTTATTTAATAGAACAGTTGTAAACATTACTAAAAGAAGTCTTAAAGATTGCCTAATTACATAAGATGGCAATAACAGAACATTCTTGACTCTAGAATGTGTCTGCAAGTGCACATAAATGTTCATATGACAACAGCAGGATATCTTGTTCTGTTCAAGAAGCTCAGGCTGTTTGACCAGATCTCAGTTTTCAGGAGCCTGGAAGCAGATTGCTCAGCTCTTACTGCTCTGCTCAATCACAGCTATTTGGTGGTGGCACCAATTGTTTATTTCCTAAATAGCTTCGTAATATAAACTCTAAGAGGACTGAACGTATGTGCACTGCTCTGTGTATTTATTAAAACTAAGACATGAATAATTCTTCACCTCATTTGAACCTAGCTAGAGCCTATGCAAGTAACTATGTGCTAACCAAGGACTGTAGCTTGGACGGGACTAAACAGTAAATGCTGCAACCTTGTTAAATCATGAAAAATTTATTTTCATTACATATACATGAAGGTAAAAGATTTCAGTCAATAGTGTTTTGAACAAGCATTTCTGACATGAGCCTGTTAGTGTAGCTAGGCTGAAACTTAATGCAAAGTTAGTGTTTTGCCTTTATTTAGTAATTCACTTTTAGTGTGTATATACAGAATTCATTTTCCTGTTAGAATACCAGAGACAGTAATATCGCAACATTTACATTCCTCATATAAAATGGAGTAATGTACATTTTCAGCTTGGTGTAGATACATAAATATGTACAAAATAAACATTATTGTAATTAACATATTCAGACCATTTATTATTTAGCAACATCAAAAGCAGATGCACATAGATTTAAGTGAAAATGGTGAAAAACACCTTTATGACATTAGTGACCATTATTTGCATATATGAAGTAGTACAGATAAAGGCTTGCCTTTCAAGCCTTCTGTGGGCATCCAATAACTTTAGTAAAAAACCAAAACTAATTGAGAAGCATAAGATAATTATATATATATATGTGTGTCATGATCAGATGGTTTACTAGGGTCCATCTTGATCACAAAAGGATAACAATGTAAAACATACACATTTGTTCAGAGCATAAAATATTGCACAAAAGCAATTTCTTTCGAGGAAAATAATTCCTGTGTTTGTGAACAGCAAAACTGCTTCTTACACATTAAAGAAATAATATATTTGCAGTTTCTAAACCAAAGAACATTCAGTAATACTGTCAAAACTGTCATCCATCAACTTCTTCCCAGCCTGTTTTATGGCAATGGTATGTCATTAGCAAGATTTGGCAAAGAGAGAAGGCAGATAGACAGTACTTGTATATATTTATCACAGGCCAGACCAATCCAATAGTTACTTAAACCAACTGCTGGATGGTTTCAGTTCCCTCAAACTTTCAGCCTTAAAGAAATATGGAAGTCTTCAGTGCTAGTCACAGTGATAATCACACAGTAGTAGAGTAAGATTCTGTTCTTCTCTGCTTGGAAACCATCTTGTCTGAATTCCCAGTCTGAAGGGCACTTTCCTCAGCATCACTGTCACTGCTGTCTACAAGAGTGTGATCCAAAGACATCTGACCAGTCCTCCTGGGAAGATGAAAGTTCACCCCACTCTCCTGTATGGAGTTAGTTAGAAAATCTTCATCAGAAGAATGAAATGATTCATCATCTCCGGTGAAATGGTTGACAATGTGAATCCCATCAAAAGTGGGTTGGTCTGAGAAGCTTCTCTGGCCTTTTAGACATTTGATCTGTTAGAAAAAGTGGAAGTTGACAGTTAATCACAGCTCAAGAGTCCAGCAATAAAAAACCCAAACAACAAAAACCAAACGAAAAAACCAAGTGTATTATCAAGAAATGCCTCATTGAACTCTTACTGGATAAAATGAAAGACCAGAAAGTAGCACCTTTGATGATCACTTCAAGTATTTCAGTTCTAAGGCTTAATAATCAAGGTACCTAGAATCAGTAATGAGAGATTCTGCTTTTACTGCATCTTTAATACCCCCACAAGGATGGCTTCTTTCTTCCAGAGCGGCCTATTTGTTTCAACAGCACTTTTGGTTTTAACATTTTACTTTATAGCTCCATTCTTTCTCATATTGCCTGATTTCTTACTTGAGAAAGCACCCCCTTCAATGAACAGGCTCCCAAGTAAATACTGCCAGCTTCTCAGAGTCACAGAAAAAAAATCCCCAAGAGGATGTTTAGTTCAGTCTACATTGTAACATTAAGTATTTTAATTATCTAATTCAGATCCTATGAGGTTTCACATCAAATAGTATGAGAGAAACATCTCTGTACAGCATAAAGAGATTGTAGTTGCAATTTTAAGAGAATGTCAAACAAGACAAATTTTTACCTGACCACAGACAGATAATATTTTAATTCAATGTGCTGCAGAGTGATAGACAATTTCAACCATGCATTCAAACTATTCAAAACTAAGACCCAAAGCACTAAAGTTTGGCAAGTCTCCTATTAATTTAATGAAAAATAACTGCAACTCATGGAAGACATTCTGGAGGTTGATTGTTTTTGTGGTGTTTTGGTTTGTTTGATCTAGAGTTTAATTTTTGTTAGCTTTTAGCAGAAGATACCTCAGGATCAGTTTGACAGTCGGATATTAAGCTAAAAAATCCTGAGGATGCAGATAAATATTAAAAATGGATTATAGAGCCTTCCTGATATCACTCTAAAAGCTTAAAAGATGAACCTAGTGCTAATTTGGAAGCGGCTTTTTACAGCAAGAGACCTGGAGAATAGAAGGAATAAAATACTGAAGCATTTCTTTACCAAAATCTGTTTGATGTTTCAGAAATCTGAGGCAATATTCACTTTGATAAGTAAGAAGTGCTTGTATGTCCTTGGTACTGACACCAATAGGAGATTTTTACCTGTCCGTTTGGGGAAGAAGGCATCTCTGTACTTACCATGAGCTTGTGCAGAAGATGAGAATAAAAAAGGAGTTGAAAAAAGATCACAAGAGTCACAATCATGCTAGAAGCCATGAAATTGCATGTTAGCACATAAAAACTCCAACTTTTGATGTTATAGTAAAAAATCCCTGTTAGGAATACGGGAACATGATGTAGATCTAAACCTTTGTGGTTACTGTGCATACTAACATTAGTTTTTTGCATTTTCTTCACATACACATAGGCTGCAGTTGTTTCATGAGGACTTCGTATAAAGACAAGAAAAACAGAGCTCCACACTTGTACAGCATAACTCATGATGCAAGCAAAAGCAGCTTATATCAAATATAAATATATCTGGAATAGATAATTTTTACTAGCTTATATATCTAGATGCAGAAAGCCTGGTAAAGAAATTCTTGTCTTATTTAGAAATATTATTCCTGAAAATATCCTGCAATATGATCAGATTAGCTACCACATGAATTTTCCAAAACAGCTATCAATTTTAGTCACTAGGAAAATAAAATACAGAAACCCAACAATTTCTCTCCACCCTTACCACAGGAAAAAAAAGAACTGCTGTACAAGTGACTACGAACTTCATATTAGAGAAAGAAATTATATGCTTTTAGGTCTGTACAGTTAAGCCATTGGTTCACCTGAAATTATAAAGCTGATACTCAATGTTAGTTGTTTGGAGCACTCAGCCAAGCCAATGACCTCAACTGTTTTTGTGAAGACTTAAACATGATACCTTTAGATGAAGTTATTTAGGTAACATGACAAAATCATGGTTTCACAGTTTAGGCAGCAACTGTTCCAAATGGGAGTCTGTGGAAAATGCTGGTGGTGAAGATAATCATGAATAGACACAGCCTTTGCCAGTTCCTAAAGGGAGGCTCAGAAAACACTGTGTTATCTTTGTGCATCCTTTTGTTAGAATAACAAATCTCTGACTTTCCAGAAACACTTTTGACCTGCAGCTTTACACTTGGCTGCCTTTTTTCTTAAGCACTCCTCGCACATAAGGGGAAACAGACCGCTGTGAAGAAACATAACACACTGCAGAGAACACACACTACACATTTATCAATGGTCACAGAGCTCCAGAATTTCTGTCTGCTCCAGAAATGGCCACCTCAGCCAGAACACTGTGCCATAGACCTTGCTTGTATTATGAGGATCAGCAGGCTGGAGAGCAGCACTGCTGAAGAGGACAAAGGGATCCTGACACAAGGAAGGCTAACTCAAACCCACACCCTCCCTGGGCAGCGAGGAACATAACAGCATGCTAGGCTGCACTGACAGGGGCAAGTGTACTGCCATAGCTGAAAATTGTTCATTTCTGAAGCAGCTTGATTATTTGGAATTTTTACTGCAACAGGAAGGCTTTGTATGGCTTCTCAGAGTATTTGAAACAATTTGCAGACAGCCTGCACTCCAATGCAATTAAGTACAAGCGGATAATGCAGCATAAAGCTCTACAATTGAAGTTTCCTAAAATTAAGGTTTGTACTCTCATATAATTTTACAGTCTAGCAAGTGAGGCTCTACACTTCTAAAAGAAAAAGCAGTATCTTTTTTCAAGGGAGGAACTTTACTGTACTATTGGCTCAGGGCAATGGTCCACCAGCTCAATATGGTGTCTCCAACAGTGACAGCAGGACGTTCACATTACCAAGCCTCCATTCACTTGCCAGAAGCTGTTGTAGCAAATAGGAGTGAAATCCCTTTCTAGCTGCTCTGGCATACATTTATAGATCAGCTGTCCCTGACTGATCATAAATTTGCTGTCCACCTCCCCATCTCCTGTGGCAGCAAATTCCAGAAATTCCTTTATTTGTTATAAATTAATCTACTTATTTTAGTAAGTGCCCCCAGACTCTAATAATGCAGGAACAAATGGTGAAAAGCAGTTCCGTGGTCATTATTCTGAAACTTTAATCATAGTACCTTCTTCAGTTTTCTCTCTAGAACAGATGACTCCCAATCCACTTTAGCTTCTCATAAACAGGTGTTAATCAAGACAACCATCATTCAGTTCCCTTTAACTTTCCTACAGACCTTCTTTAAATTCTCTACATCCATCCAGATGCCAAGTGGCAATACAACTCCCTTTATTTGGTTTTTAATATACTTCCTATTAATGCCCAATGTTGCCTTGTCTGGTTTGGCTGGTGCTGCATGCTAAGCCAGTGTCAGAGGACTCAATACCAACCGAAAACATCTTTCCTGATTTGTAACTACCAATTCTATGTTTGCCATTGTGTAGGTACGTCTTAGATTTTGCAATAGGTGAACAACCAGCTTATCCACACTGAAACTAATTTGTCAGCTTTTTAAGACAGACTTGAGATTCTTGTTGTCAGTGTCTTATTTGAACATGGGAAAAGAGCTTAAGGTAGGAACGAAAGCATTAGGCGAAGATCTTGCCATTCATCTAGCCAAGCATATTGAGACAATGGGGAATCCAGCTAAGAGCTTGGAAAGCAGGATGTGTGGATCCAACCCAAACGCTCCCCCCACAGCCTAGTTCTACTCTATACCTATCCCTGAAGGAACTACAGCCATGTTGAGCAAAGTGTGGACCTGCACCCCAGGGCCTCTTAGTTTCTCTTCTCTTTTATACAGTCGATATTGGTTAAAGGCTTTCAGTTTTGGGTCTGGCCTTCCTTCATGTGAAGGGAACTTGATCTCTGTCATTCCAACAAGTAACATTTAAAGGAACCTGTTTTTTACTGCTTCAGTTTGCAAGAATCTCAAATCTGATTTCGAAAGAAAAAAAAGAAAAACAACAACCAATAAAAAACCAGGTCTGGTAAACCCCATGTGTTTTGCTTTTAATTCTCAAATCCAGGTCATATTGTCTAGATGACTGCAACTTCAACCCAGTTAGTTTTTACTACAACACATTCACAAGGTCTTTAGGACATTTCAAAGGGTTAATAACGTTATGTGATCAAAATATATGTCATCATTATCCCTTCAAAAGCCAGCTGAATCAACAACAAAATTTTAATAACGTGCACATTTATATATCTTCTTGTCAGCATTTGAAAGACAAACTGTTATGTCTACTGGGCAACATATGAAAAAACTGTACATACTCTTAACAGGTAACAGTGTACTTCCACAAATACAGAAGAGCTGAAAAAAGGTTAACAATCAGATCCTTGAACCTTAAAATAAACTTTCTTACCTGATGCTGACTGCCTCATCAAGCCAGGCATGAAGGAGAAACAGTAAAGAGAAATTTAGAAGTTTTAAACAATTCAAAAGGTGTTCCATATTAAATCATAGAATCAAGTTTGAAGGGTGATAGTCAGTTGCAAGCAAGTTATATTTCTAAGTCCCTCTGGGTTTTTTGAGTAGGGAACATAGGTTAAGCTTTCAAATGGGACTTTGTGAAACAGTTTGACTTAAGCTCTGGGAGACATTTTTATGTTGTAACCTGTGAGGTTTTAAGCTAGGAGTTCAGTGGTGAAAAGTGGAACTAAAATGCTACTGTCTGCTCCTTTTAAAAGGTTTCAATCAGTAATTAATTCTTTAAATTTACTCAATTCCAAAGTAGTAAAGACAGGTTTTAACAAAGCTTGCCAATAAGTATTAAATCTAGTCACAGTAAGATAACCAAGAAATACACAAGTGAGATGGAAATGTGACCACTGCCTCGGGTGAATAAAAATGGTTTTGGCAGAAGGCAGTATATCAACTTAAATGTTTATTTAAAGAATAAAGGTCCTGAATTCTCAGTGCTTTTACTTGCAAGAAGAGGAATCTAAAAATCGGATTTCCCTCTTTATGTGTTCTAACCTTAGTAACATTTGAAA